TCTTTTATTAAACATTATGGCCATGAAAAAAAACTAACAATTTTTTTTTAACTTGCAAATATTCAGAAAACTCACCATTCCTTTGGTTTTCACAACATTAGAATTAAGTTTTGTCAGTGGCCCAAAGAGCACTCTCTGGGGACTTGGTCATAAGAGGTTCCAAGGCAGTTTCCAATGTGTACAGTCCCACCCAACCGGTCTTAGTCACTTGGGGTGCAATGGATAAAACTCCTAACTAAATATCAAATCTGCTGCCTCTAGCCCAGCCGTTACCCAAGGTGACCCAGGCAAGTCACTGACCCCCGCTTCTGTAAACAAAGGGAGTGGGACTCTGCGTTCTGCTTTTTCCAGCTCCACAATTACCCGTGGTGGTTCATCACCACTTGTCAGGGCTAGAGCGAGACAGCAACTGCGGTTTTCCTCAAAGCAACAGAATGGAATTCGACCACCATTTCAGGAAGGCAAAGGAAGGAGGGAAGGCGCCTCACGCAGTGGCGAGTCGCCCCACCCTGCTAGCCAGGCGAGGAGAGAATTCTCTCCCAGAAGAAAGGTCTGAATAAGACAAGTGGATGCTCCATCCAGCTGTCGCCTCTTTCCTGGCATTTTTCCTGACTTCACGGGTGTGATACAATCACATTTCCAGGCGTGCTCCTGGAAAAACTCACCTGTGCTCTAAGTCATGGTGCCTGTGTTCACGGTCCCAAAGAGTTCAGAATACTTCTAACTTGTGCAAGCCTGAAAGGGTCGTGTGTTGGTCATCCTTTAAAAAATAATTTTGATTATAGTTTTCTGAAGTTGGACTTTATGAACTTTTATTTACAATTCGAGCTTACGAACACCAACATTTGAGAATCTATTCAAATTGACCACAATGAGATTTAAACACCATTTCTATAAAGGGCTTTGTTTTTTGTGAACCTCATTTAATTCTGGAGTCAAGAGATGAAGTGTAATCCCCAGCTGCCTCTCTGGGCCACTTGACACCCCTGGGCCTTTGTTAAATAGTGGCTTTTGAGAGTGTTTTGTTTATTTTGACAGCAACAGGGAATTTTTTTTTAATCAAATAAAACTTTACCTTGATTTCCAATACAAAATCAGGAGCTCTGGTAATGAGGTCCCTCCTAGGCCTCCTGGGTTCACCTTCCATCCATAAAAGGCTGCAGGGAAACTGAAGTGTGGCTGGAACCCCACATCTCAGTGATGAGGAAATAATGTTCTAATGCTGCCACCTGACAGCCACAGAAAGACACTCTCCCGTGGAGTCAGTCAACCTGTCCAGCCCCCTGCACTGGGAGTTCATTTAAAAGAAAGTCCAGGTGCTAAGCTGCCTTGGAAAATGAGACAAATGAAAAAGCCACCTGCCAGCAATGAAGAAAAGAAAAAAACACCAAAATTGTAAAGTTTTAACATTTTCAGTAAGCTGACAAAAGCCAACAGTTTTCTTTCCTTATTTTTTGGAAAGCAGTTCCTTCTTAAAACAGTGATCAGAAACCAGGAAAGGCGCGTTTGCTTTTGAGCATTTTTCTTTTGTTGTTTTCTCTTGTTTGCAAATAGCAGCTTCTCTGCCTAGGAACCTTTTTTGACGTTGTTATTCTTGAGTGCCCACGGCTGGCTGCCCTTTAGAGAAACGGTGAATGTAGAATCTTGCAAGCAAGATCGCCATCTTCAGGCGAAAATGATCATTGCGTGTAAGCGCCAGGCATTTGGTGGGGATGGAAATCTTTAAATTCAGTGGCTGAACGTCATTGGACAATAGGTGGGTGATAATTTGTATGTGGTCATCTCAGGAAATGAATGCGAGCTCAGAACTTACCCACTTGAGGGAAAAATGTTTCCATTTCTGTTGCAACTTTCCTGGGATCCTCTAAGCCTCTGGAACAACTCGTGTTGTCCAAAAGGAATAATGTTTTACAAACTTACCGTGTGAAATAGCTCTAAAACATGCCATTGTATTGATTTATAAGTTATTAGATTTAAAGATCAGTCTAACCCATAACTTCTTCCACAAAACATGTCGCTTTGGGGGCCAGTGGAATAACTAAACCCCTCATTATAAGGAAGTGGGGCGTCTTCGTACCCAGTGCTGCTTATGCCCAGTGCCAGGCTAGGTGTCTTTGTGAACCACAGATGTTTACCAGGTGCCTCACCCCCAAAGACCCTGCAGTCTAGCAGTTAGCTTACATCATATTCTATTTTTAAAACACACCCTGTGAAGATCCTTTTTAGATCCTTCTTACCATTGTGTGGGATCAGCATCTGTGCCTATCAGTATATTTTTTTAGAAGACCATTTGTTATTTACAGTTTGAAGTCAAACAGACCTGGCTGAGTTGGCATCCCAGCTCAACTATTACTAGCTGTGTGATGTTAGGCAAGTTGCTTAACCTCTCTGGGCCTGAGTCACCTCATTAAAATGTAGAAAATAAAATCTATGTCACATGGTTGTTGTGAGGATTTAATGAGATAATATGTGTTAACACACTGAACAGAGAATTTGGTCCCCAGTAAAAATAAGTGTTATAAGTATTTCAATATATAGATTAAATGTATTAAACTGGAGGATTATCTTTCTTTTCTAGTCTGTAAATAAAGAGAAAGGCGAAGCCAGCCTAAAAACTTGACATTTGAAGCCTTTCCTACGCAGATAGCAGAATCTATTAAAATGCAACAACAGCACATTTCATAGTTACAACTAAAACATTCCTAACTCCCTATATTTGTTTTGTTAAAATTATAACTTTCTGTTGAAGAAACAAAATGCCTAAACTCCCTGTTTTAATTAAATAAGCTTAAATATCAGTCGTTTGGGGTGATAGTTTGCTGGTAATGTTTCTCTTAATACAATATGATCAAAATTATTCACTTAAATACTCATTTAAAATTCATATTCAAAGACTAATTCTTAAATTAGATATAGTCCTTTCCAAAGACTTCACAAATACTGGTTTCCCTTAGTTTGGATTTTTTTTTTTTTATTACAAGAAAGAACAAATAATATAAAATTGACCTTTTAAACCATTTTCCTTTTTATTTTTAAAATTAATTAATTAATTTTATTTTTTTATTATGGTGACATTGGTTAATGAAATCCAGTAAGTTTCAGGGGTACAGTTTAGCAGTAAGGCATATATATTGCATCGTGTGTTCACCACTCATAGTTTTCTTTCTGTCACCAAATATTTGACACCTTTTACCCCATCTACCTCTCCCTGCTCTCCCATCTGGTAACCACTAGTCTGTTGTCCATGTCTATGAGTCTCTGTTTGTTTGTCCTGTTCATTTGTTGCTTTTAGATTTATATCCCACGTATAAGTGATATCATGTGGTTTTCAACTTTTTCGGTCTGGCTTATTTTGCTTAGCATGATTATCTCAAGGTCCATCCATGTTGTTGCAAATGGCAGTATTTCACATCCTCTTCTGGCTGAGTAAAATTCCATTGTATATATGTACAACAACCTCTTTAGCCAATCATCTATCGTAGGACATTTTGGTTGCTTCCATGTCCTGGCCACTGTGAATAGTGCTGCTATGAACATCAGTGTGCAAATATCTTTTTG